CAGTTTTCGACAATCGCGACACCTAATGACATCGAAAATAATCACTTCCACTAGCCCAGCTTGTTTATAGTGACTTTAAAACGGAACAGTTTCATCTTCCTTTCCCCGCAGCTCAACGAAATTCGAAATGAAATCTCGCGTGTAGTCTATCTACAGGTTATACTCCGTTGCACAGCCACGGCTGTCCATGGATCACAGGACAGAAGTAACTTTTAAGGCTCATAGCCAAGCCTCCCTCAAATCACACGTTATGTGGGAATCTTGAATGGAGCAAACATGTAATTGCCATTACAATGTACTAGGTCACTTACTTTCTAGGCTGATATGTTGCGAAGCACTCGGTCATTCTTGAATACAATCTTTGGTCGCCCTAGGTCGTTCAAGGCTTTTCAGCTATCCGTCCTTAAGTCAACTCAAATACCGAGTTTATAGTCAAGAAGTAATGACAATTGCAAAGAGTCTCAAAACCGAGTCTTTGCATCCCATTGATCAGTCAAGAAGCCAGGCAACCTAGCCTTCAAATAAGACTGCGTTGGTAAGTAAGTTCCTGCAGTCAATAAAGGTTGATGCTTTCCCCAAGTTGGAGCGCTTTCAGAATAGACACAAACTTGTGCGTCGACAAATGACTGCAAGTCAAAGGTGAGCAAAAGTCACTAGATTATTATTAAATTGCCCTTGCAATCTTAAAAGACAGCAAAGATTCACGTCGCCTTTCGGCCTATTTCATTCTATCATGTTTCTGCTTCTGAGTCAGACTGCGCTTACGAACTCCGCCTATCAAAAGTGAATTATAATGATCTATGACATGTATTCTCGCCATTTCGTGTGAGATGAATTTTCCAACAATTGTATGAGTATAGCTTACGTTTCCATTGAATCTCACATAGCCTTGTTTTTCCAAAAGGTATTCTGATTTGGGATGGACTTCTGGTCACATGGTCACATGGCAGATGTGAATTTTAAGGAAGATCAGGCATTCGGTAGTGGGATTATCGATTAAACAAAGCTGTATTTGCTAAAGCAATAGATTGTACTACTCATGTTTTCGTTTTTAAGTAGGCTTTTTGGATCAAAGCCTACTTTTAAATGGAAAATAAGTAATTTAGTCGGTTGCTATAGCAAGTACAACTCTGCTTCAATGGCAATCCCATAACAGGATGTGATATGCCAAAATGCCAGAAATTCGTAAGAACTACATTTTTCCTGTGATCCAAGGGCACTTGTGGCATTGTGGCATTGTGGCATAGTGTTCTGGTAAAACCCAGGTTTAAGGCCCACTAGGGGTGCTGATTTAACCATTTCAGGCGAGGTCGAAACTGCAGTGAATTCCTGCTTGAATGAGAATACCTTTTTGGAAGCAAGGCTAAATGAAATTTAATGGAAATGTAAAGCCTGTTCACATCATTCAACTACCAGTCCTCCAGCTGCTCAAAC